ACAGCTAAGGCCCTAACAACGCCCCTTAGCTGTTATAAATTCACTGTAAACCACGGCTTCTTGGGGTTTATTGCTTTAATTTAGGCCTAAAGATGTTTTAAGCCTAAAGAGACTCAAGAAACAAGTTCTTTAAATGTGGTTTAGATTTGCTCTTTTTGTGTCTGTGTTTATGCAATTTACCAAATAAAATCATAAGATTCATTATGAAGTTAACAAAGTATAAACATCTTTGCAAGTGCAAGTTCTATTAAAAATACATCCAGATAATGACTCGTCTTCATGCACGAGGGAGATGATTTTGATTGCTGGTTTTTGAGTGAGAGTTTGACTCTGTCAGACGAGAATGATCCGGTGTGTGATTCATCAGCTCTTCGTCAGGTTTCAGTTAATTAGGCTCTTCTGAAGCCTCTATTGTCTGTCGTTTGCCGGAAGCGCTGAGACAAAACCAGCGAATGAAGTCCTTTAGTCCAGCGGCTCGTTCTGGACTCTCGGGAACGGCATTCCATTGGCCAGCGTTCCGTAGCAACACATTCCACCTATGACAAAAGAGCGTGTGTGTGTGTGTGTGATTGCGTGTGTGTTTCTGGAATCACCGGGCAGATTTCAGGGAATCCAGCCAGACGTTCTCAGGATCCAGAGTCGAACTTTTGTGAGCCAAACAGCAGACGATCAGGAGTGAGTCATAATGAGACTTTGAACATTATATTATCAGTCAGTCTTTAGCGCTTCATCCTCACGTGTTTGTGACCGCTTCACCTGCCAACAAATCAGTCAAATCACACGCCCTGATCAATCAATCTGATTCATTTAATGTTCAAGGCCCTAAACACTGAATATCAACACTATAAAACATTTACTTCAACTTAAAACTTAAGTTTGGTTGCTGCCTTAAATTAAGTAAACTGACTTAAAAATAGAGATCAGGATGAGTTTGTTTCTTCATCATGTTTGTAGAAATGTAGCATTGCATCAGTGTCTCAGCAATGGATGCTCTGCAGTGAATGGGTGCCGTCAGAATGAGAGTCCAAACAGCTGATAAAAACATCACAATAATCCACAAGTAATCCACAGCACTCCAGTCCATCAGTTAACATCTGGAGAAGACAAAAGCTGAAACTAATCCAGCATTCAGCTTTTGTCTTCTCCAGATGTTAACTGATGGACTGGAGTGCTGTGGATTACTTGTGGATTATTGTGATGTTTTTATCAGCTGTTTGGACTCTCATTCTGACGGCACCCATTCACTGCAGAGCATCCATTGCTGAGACACTGATGCAGTGCTACATTTCTACAAGCCTGATGAAGAAACAAACTCATCCTGATCTGGCATAGACCAAGATTTGAGGTGCAGAGGTGCAGATTTTCATTTTTGGCTGAACCATTCCTTTAGGAAGTCTCATTCACTCTGATGCAATCAAATCAGTAATATGTGAAAATATTTGACACTTTATTGTATGCTGCAGATGTCTTTGACACACAGTATATTAATACACAATCCCATTTACTATAGTGTCAGTTGACAATAAAAATGCTTTACATTATTCTGGGATCGATGATAACCAACCAGAAGTTTAACTAGCAAAAGCTCCTTCGTCTCTTGTTCTAACCCTCACCCTCACCTTCTTTCTCTATCTCTCTTTCCCTCACAGACACACACGCACATGCACACACACACACGCACACACACACACACGCACACACGTATATATATATATATATATCCCTTTTTAAATTTGGGGTGAAAAGTGATCTGTACATTTCAGACATGCTGAGTTTCTCTCTGTAAGCAATGATAACTCTATCCCGCCGCGGCCCCCACAGCAGCGCCTGCAGAGCAGGGGTGTAAAATACTTGAGTAATTTTACTTGATTAACGTACGTAAGTACAAGGCCGTAACCATGTCTTGAACATTGGGGGGGACCAACTTTATGCATACACACAACACATACACACACACACACACACACACACACACACACATACACACACACACACACACACGTGTATATATATATATATATGTATGTATGTACTGTATGTATGTATGTATGTATGTATAAAGTTGGTCCCCATGTATATATATGTATGTATGTATATATAGGATGTATTAGGGATGTAACGATATTATCAATATTGAAATATCGCGATTGAGGTGTTCTGTTGTTGGATGTAATAATGAATGTAGCAGTCGTCATTTACTATCGACATCTGAGCCGCTGAAGACGCAGTGGATTACGGTTGTTTCTGAAGGGAATGCGCCCCCGATCTACATAAATGTGTGTATGTTTGCGTGAATCATTCGTGATCCAGCTTCACCTCCAGAAGACGTGAGAGTGTAAGGATTTTTTTTTAAGAATCTTTGCAAATCGCCTTTCCTAATAATGTGCAAGTTAGTAAGTTTCACGATGAATGCGGCTAAAGTTAAGAGTCTCTCAGAGAAAGAGAGGGGCGGGGTAAGCAGAGCTCATTAGCATTTAAAGGGACATGCACCAAAACGGCTCGCTGTGAACATAATTGTTTTTAAAGGGGAAAAAAGGGTGTTGTTTTACACTACCATTGAGAAATTTTAACCAAAGTATGTTATAGACTTTTTATTAAGACCCTAAAGAATCCTATCAACTTGTGGAAAATGGGCATCTGATGACTCCTTTAATGCCACAAGACAGTTTGCGCTGGTGCAATCTGTTATTAAAACTGGCCCTAAGACTAAAATTGAAAATAGCTGATAAAAATTGACACTACCTGCAGGATGCACCGAGCGTCCTGGATATGGATGCGGCGTCCGGGGTCGGGCTCCAGCAGCAGGTGCGCCAGTCTCTGCAGGCCGGGTGAGTAGATGGAGGCGGCGGGGATCGGCGGCAGCTCGTCGCATCTGTAGTCGCATTTGCCCGGCGTGGCTTCGAACGGGTTACGGCGGTGCAGGAGCTCATAGATCAGGATGCCAGTTTGAAACTCGTCAAATTTGCGGTACTGTGCAGCCGAGACGATCTCAGGCGCGAGCCGGGCGTGATCCCGCTTTAGAAATGGGTCGTCTGCATTGAGCCGTTTCAGCTTCGAAATCACAGGAATAAATTACATTTAAAAACATATTTAAATAGAAAACAGTCATTTTAAATAGTAAAAATATTTCACAATATTACTGTTTTTGCTGTACTTTGTACTTGTACTTGTACTTTTAAAAAAACATACTGCTCAAAAACTTTTGATATTTGGAATAATTAAGATTTTTACACGTTTTTTTGAAAAAAGTCTTTAAAATTCAACAAGGCTGCATTTATTTGAACAAAAATACTAGAAATACTTGAACAAAAATACTAGTAAATACTAGAGGTCGACCGATGTATCGGTTTTGCCAATTAATCGGCACCAATAGTTTGATTATAAGGATTTCATAGCTTATCATAAATCTGTGGACTTATTATATATATATATATATATATCCCTTTTTAAATTTGGGGTGAAAAGTGATCTGTACATTTCAGACATGCTGAGTTTCTCTCTGTAAGCAATGATAACTCTATCCAAAGAAACATTAGTAAAGGTGAAATGAAGTGCTGGTCGCGGCTCCGTCCGTCTGTGCTGGTGTTTGATTCCAGTGAAGTACACACAGTGTTTCAATGCGTCTGATCTGACAGTCAGACAAACAGTGTTGATCTGGAGCCAGGCGCGAGCCGGGCGTGATCCCGCTTTAGAAATGGGTCGTCTGCATTGAGCCGTTTCAGCTTCGAAATCACAGGAATAAATTACATTTAAAAACATATTTAAATAGAAAACAGTCATTTTAAATAGTAAAAATATTTCACAATATTACTGTTTTTGCTGTACTTTGTACTTGTACTTGTACTTTTAAAAAAACATACTGCTCAAAAACTTTTGATATTTGGAATAATTAAGATTTTTACACGTTTTTTTGAAAAAAGTCTTTAAAATTCAACAAGGCTGCATTTATTTGAACAAAAATACTAGAAATACTTGAACAAAAATACTAGTAAATACTAGAGGTCGACCGATGTATCGGTTTTGCCAATTAATCGGCACCAATAGTTGATTGGCGGAACTATCAGTTATCGGCAAAAATCCATGCTACGATAGTTTTTCCAGGTTGCGTCCGTTGCTGGAGCAGCTGAAGCTACGCTGTCATTATACAGTATGAGAGCGAGTATACCTGCAAGTTTTTTTTTTTACCCGGTGTGTGACTGCCGTCTTATGTTATTTTGATTAGATAATCATCAAGTGTTCTAGAATAGAAGCAGTTAAACTGTCAGAGTATACATACGATATCCATATGTACGTCATTTCAATGCTATGGCCTTTATGTAGATATTTAAAGATGGCCATCTTTAGATATGAATTGGTAACACTTTACAATAAAGAGTCCATTTGTAACAGTAACTAATATCGATACAAGCTGTAGAATAGAAGTAGAGTGTGTTAATTTAAACATTTACGGATATATTTTTCAATTTTGAAGTTGGTTTTGTTAACATTAATGAACTATGAACTAACTTTAATGATCAATATATAATTAATATTAATAATTTTATTCATTTACAAAGTATGGTTCAGTACTTTTTTTTAAATAGTAGAGCACTATTTTAGTTTCCGTTCAGTATCATTTGAAAAACTATCGGTTGATTAATCGGTATCGGCCGATGTGGTCCAACCTAGCTATCGGTATCGGTAAAATCCACTATCAGTCGACCTCCAGTAAAAACAATAATATTGTGAAATGTTATTAATTACAATTATTCATAATAACCCCGCCCGCGTCGCTTGGCCTTGTTTTTTTTTTGTTTTTTTGTTTTGTTTGCGACTAAGCGACTATTAAAATTTTAGCCGACCAAGCCTCTTCTGGTCAACTAACGGTTAGTCGACTATTAGGGTGCAGCCCTAATAATTAATATTAATACTTTTTTTCGTTTACAAAGTATGGTTCAGTACTTTTTTTAAATAGTAGAGCACTATTTTAGTTTCCATTCAGTATCATTTGAAAAACTATCGGTTGATTAATCGGTATCGGCCAGTGTGGTCCAACCTAGCTATCGGTATCGGTAAAATCCACTATCGGTTGACCTCTAGTAAAAACAATAATATTGTGACATGTTATTAATAAGCATGATTCATAATAACCTGGTCTGCATCGCGGCGCTTGGCTTTGGTGAAGCTGCTGATGAGGAGGCGCGGGAGGCTGTGCTGCTGTGGATCTGGACGCTGCAGCAGCAGCAGGTTCTCCATGCACAGATCTCGATGCGTGACGCCGTGCACTTTCAGATGCTCCAGACCCGCGCACAGCTGCAGCAGCAGAAAACACACGCGCCGCTCGTAAACCTCCGGCTGCGCGCAGTGGAACGACTCCCACTCGCGGACGAAATCTGCCACGCTCTGGTGCGGGACGTCCCGGGTGATGACCACCACTCGCTCCTGCTCGGCCGGACCGCTCTCCTCGCTGGGTAGCATGCTCCGCGGCACGCAGGCGATGAAGTGACCGCAGTCCTGCTGCAGATTGAAGTGAGACGGGATGCTCTGCTGCACCGAAAGACCGTACAGATGAACCTGCTTACTGTCCGGAGCCTGGCCTTTACAGATCTGACCAACACACAGAGAAAACAGACACGCTATGATGTTAAATATTAATTCACAATTTCCTTACCATAAATAAAATATATATTTGGAATAATTAAGACTTTTTTATATTTTTAAATAAAGCCTTTTATGTTCAGCAAGGCTGCATTTATTTGATAATAATATTGTGAAATTATATTAATAACAATTATTAATAACATTTATCTATTATTAAAAGCTTTCCATTAGTATTGTTTATTATTATCAATATTGAAAACAGTTTTTGCTGCTTAATATTTTTGTGGAAATATTCAATTCTGGATTCTTTAAAGAATAGAAAAAATTATGAAATTGAAATCTTTTGTAACATGATATTTCTTTACTGTAACTTTTAATCAATTTAATGTCTTTGCTAAATAAAAATATTAATTAGTTAATCTTTTAGACCACACTTTTATGAGGCCAGTCAAAAAAAAAATTATAAAAAACATATTGAAAAACAATGTTGAATTTAGAATTTATATTGGTTTATGCATTTTTCATTCCTCTCTCTCTCTCTCTCTCTCTCTCTATATATATATATATATATATACACATTAAAGTGATATAAATTGGCAGTAAAACATTTATAATGCTACAAAAGATTTCGCTGTTCTTGTGAACTTTCTATTCATCTGTGAATCCTGAAAAATAAAATGTGTTACGGATTCCACAAAAATATATTTTTTCAACATTGCTAATAATCAGATATGTTTCTTGAGCAGCAAATCAGCATATTAGAATGATTTCAGCGGTTTTAAATTCTAATAATACTTCACAATTTTTACTGTATTTTTGATCAAATAAATGCAGCCTTGGTGAGCAGAAGAGAATTCTTTCAAAAAACCTTATTTATTCCAAACCTTTGACTGCTAATTTACAGTATATATGTGACCCTGGAGCACAAAACCAGTCATAAGGGTCTTTTTTTTTTTTATTGAGATTTATACATATATATATATATATATATTCTCTGACCTTGACGGCGTATGTGTTTCGAGTGTCTGACGCGCAGGAGGCTGAGTAATACACAGCGTCTCCGGACAGACAGCAGGGTTTGTTGCAGGTGAGTTTGAAGAGTGACCAGTTGCTCTCGTCGAATCTCAGCGTGTCCCTCTGGCCGCTGGAGAAATGCTCCTCACACTTGAGCGCGAGCCGCCGCAGAGACTCGGCGTACAGGCCGCCCAGTTTGGAGTAGATGCCCTCGCGGCTGTCCATGTTCCTGAGCAGCGCATGCAGATGCAGCGTGTTGAGCTGCGGAGACGAGCAAGACGTCACGTTCCCCAGACGCGGGCGAGAACAGGCGAGCGGTTTGACGCCAGAGTCGCTCGGAGCCGAGGTGGTGCGGTTCACCAGCTTCTTCTGTGGTAACGGAGGCGGCTGGAGCTGATTGGCCAGGCTGGTGCAGGGAAAGGCGTCGGGCTGCGGAGACGAAGGGGCGGAGCCAAGCGGGCTGCTGGGGAAAGGGGAGGGGCTGGAGTGGAGGGTGGAGTCTAGATCACATGACCAGAAGAAAAGAGAGAGGGAGAAGAAATAGTTAATTACTTTTAGTCGAAATGAAAAATTTTTAATGGCATGACTGGGTTTACATAATATTTATACAATACATAATTGATATATACAATATTTATACAACATTGACAAAAAACTTTACACAAAACAAGCAGTAGCGAAAAATATATATATAGAAAAGATAGAAAATAAAATAAGGTGTTAAGTGATTAATAAAAATAAATAAATGAATTAATACGTTTTAAAAAATAAATACATTTATTTGTCTTTTATCACAGTGTTGCTGTCATTCCACATAGAAACCCAACTGTGATTGGCTGTAAAATATTGGATTGAAAGCAAGTTTGAAAGATCTGCTCTATATCAGATTCATAATCAGAGTTCAGAATCAGTGAATCATATGATTGTGATTTCTAAATGATTCCTGTCAGACAATCAGGAGAATTAAAGTGTTCAGTAAAATGAAACTGTTCATGTTCCTCATTTCTGTTTCTGTATTCTAACACAACACTCGCACACACTCACTCAAGTGCACACACACACACACACACACACACACACACACACACTCACTCGCTTGCACTCACACTCAATCACACACTTACACTCACTCACTCACACACTCACTCGCTTGCACTCACACTCAATCGCACTCATACTCACTCACTCACACACACTCTCACACTCGCACTCGTTTGCACTCAATCGCACACTCACACACACTCTCACACTCGCACTCGT